AGTCTGTTGATCTGGAAAATCCCCGCGCTAACATCATCAACAATACTCGATTAATTAGGTCTTAATCCAAAACCAGGAGTCTAGAACACTTTCCCAACATCCAGGGTAAAAGACCATTACTTGGCCCAAAAATCAAGGCCCAACCCATTTGCTCCCTAAAGGCCCAATTTCCTAAGTGGCACCCAAAGCCCAATATGGCCCATCTAAGAAATCCCAAAGTCCATAAATTATCCATAGGAGTTAAGGGGCCAAGCCCAAACGAAACATAGCCCAAAGACCCAAGCCCACAATTCCTTTGGCCCAGCCTAGTGTACGCTTGACGTACCAGGATCGTACGCCCTATGACACGCTCGATTCGGAAACGGGCTTGCAGCCAGTACGCTCTCTGTACCCAGGAGTACACCCCGCGTAATGGCCTGATCATAACCCTTTGGACAAATGACTTAATCACTTCAGAACTTATCATCCAATCCACAAAATATCATCATATTAAGGTCCTAACCCATAAAGTTGAAGGCTTTAAGCCTTTGCATGGCTAAAAACACCCCAAGGTCCAATTCTAGCATCTTAGCTCCATAAAATGAGACATCAACTTTGCATAATTATAACATTCGAATCCTGAGGTATTAAAAATATTAATTTTTGCATTTAGTAGAGGCTCACGACGTGAGTAGTACCATTGACCGTTTGACCCGTGTTCACGAACCTCACGACGTGAGGCATACGATCTCACGACATGAGCCAGGCCTGATGGTTCCAAAACCTAAAAATCGAGTATAAAACGGAATAAGGAGGCTAGGGTCGCCCATCATCAGCCTCTTTCACTCCCAAGTCACTGTAAATCCCTAGATTCAGCCCTCTTTAGTCCTTGAGCCATTGTTGGTGGTATTGGTGTGTTAATGGTGTTTTGTTTTCCTTGAAGAAGAAGAAGAAGAAGCTCTTGTGGTGGTTCCTTTTGACGAGATAAACCCTTCCTTGTGGATTTTCTGAGCTTGTGAGCTTCTGTAAGTCATATAGATCCTATCTTTTTGAGTTAAGCTTGCTAGATCTAGGTTATGGTTTCCTTCTTTTCATGGGATCCTGGATTATCATGCATGAAGTCCATAAAGTTGGCAACTTTACAGACCATTGAGTCATTTGCTGTATTAGAACCCTTGGATTTGGATTTTGGTGCAAGTTTTGGACTCCAAGTTTGAATCTTGATGTTTGCACCCATCTTTTGACCTAACTAGTGTTTAAGTCATGCATGAGACATGCATGACCGAAAAGATATGATTTTTATGCTCCTTTAGACTAGATATGGTATTCTGGAAAGTCCCAATGCACATCTTAAAGGATTAAGAGCTTAATGCTCACAGAACAGTGTCACACCCCAAAACCGGAACGGCGGAAACGTCCGGGGGTGGAGGACGTCATGTTCAGTATCACAACAATGCAAAGTAGTAAACAAGCAACAACATCATCCATTGCATTAATAATATAATTTCATACAAGTGTGTTCTGTCAAGTTATATAGACACCAAAAATATACATCAAAAATAAAAGATGAGTCTTGAACGAGCCCCATCTTCTCAGAACCTGGCACCGGTACCTGTCTACTGGTGACCTGAGAATACAAGTTATTTTGAAAGAGTTTATCAGCTTTAAAGCTGGTGAGATCATAAGTATATTAGTGTATGTGCTTGTATGAAAGCATTTGTAAGATGTTTGTAATGTATAAGTTTTGTAAAAGTTTGTATTTGTTTGTACTCTCCTAGAAAACCCTATGTTTCCTACTAAAAGTAGCCTTCTACCAAGGCATCTAGTGTCTGTGTGTGTGTCTCTTGTAAGAGTGTGTATTTTACCAAATCTGACTATTATTAACCAAAAATATATTTCTTACATTATTGTTTATTGTGTGAATATCACAAAGTAAATGTAAAGGGAAAATAAAATAGTACTGTAGTGTTGTATTAAGTAACTACTGCTGTACTAACTACTTTAAACTAATTGTTATTTAAAGTACCATGTGATCGGCCTGTATCCTGCTACCGACTCTAGTAAAACGACGATGTAAGACGCCGTAAGAAATGACGTTTGGCACCCTTAGACTTGCAAGTCCCACTGTAGCGAGCAGCAAGGTGTAGGATAGCCAATCTAGTATAGATCTATATACAAACTCATACGCTCCGCAATTAAGGAGATTCTGGATACAAAACGGGTCATGACAGGTAGTGCCATGTCCCCCCTGTTAAGTGGCTCACATAACTGTATGTAATGTATATGTATATGTATATGTATGTGCTAGCTGTATTGTGTGTTCTTTCTCTGTCTAGCTTGTATGTTTTGTTTCTCATCACTGTGTATTATGTTTGTTTCTCATCACTATGTATTATGTTTGTTTCTCATCACTATGTATTATGTTTGTTTCTCATCACTATGTATTATGTTTGTTTCTCATCACTATGTATTATGTTTGTTTCTCATCACTATGTATTACTTATGAATGAACTGACTCATTGTATGTTTCATTGTTCTAGTAATAGTATCTTCCTAAACTATACCTATTATAGTTTACTAGTAATGTTGTTTGTGTATATGAACATGTTTGTATACCTTTGCTACCCAAAGGCATTGAACTGAATGAAAGAAGTAACCTTTTATATCTACACACATATACATGATATATAACTAGGATTCAAACAACCTTCGGACAAATAACCTGAATGCCCTAAGTCCACAACCAAACAAGGAACAGGAACTAAGGTGAGCTATCAGTCCTAAGTCCTTTCAATCCTACTTATATAACTATATCTATATAGATACACAGAATATAAGTTAAAAGAATTTAAGTAAAAGTATTTATCATGTAAAAGAGTTTGATAAAAGCATTTGGTATGTAAGAGAGTTTGTAAGACAGTTTGAAGTAAAACAGTTTGGTAACACAATTTGAAAAGTAAGAAATCCACTTGTTTGGTAGTTATTAATCACATGCGATTGATATAATAACTATAATTGTTCAACTTGTATTCCCCCCCCCCCATAAAAGCATTTAAAAACATTTAAAAGGTTAATTAAGGGGGTATGAACTCACCTGTAGCGAGTGGTTTGGATGAACGGAATGTATAGGATGCTAGGTGTTAAGTGAAGACTTGTACACACACAATGATCCTAGTTAACATATAATAACACATATATGTATCCAATTAGTCTTTATACAACTAATTAACAAAGTCAAGACATCCTAGGACATGTAAAACACCTTATTTAAGTGCTATAAGTCCCAAGGATTGCATCTAAGTGTTGTAGGACATTGCTATTGAGTTTAGGGTTCTAGGGGACCCTTTATTTGAGTTTACAGTTTTGTGACCATAACTTATTGAGTTTACGGTCGTAAACCCATAAGTTTACGGCCGTAAACTCATGTTTCTTTGACCATCTTGTGTTTTGAAGCTTTACAAGTCCTTAGAAGCATTTCTACTTGAAGTATAAGCCTTAGGAAGAGATTAGGGCACCATTTCACTCCTAAATGGAGTTTACGGTCCCTGGACCACTTCTCCTTGGGTTTACGACCGTAAATCCATATGGTTTATGGTCTTTTGATGTTTTCAAGTACTAAACTCATTAAGGAAGGGATCTATGCAAGTTTCCAAGGCTTAGAAGGGACTAGGGCACACTTTGGCACCCTTTTTAGGGTTTACGGTCCAAGGTGTTCTTGGACCGTAAACACCTTTGATCCTTGGTTTCTTTGGTGTTTACTTGATGTATTGAAGTGTAACAAGCCTTATTATACTCTAGGATAGAAGTACTTACAAGATAGAGGCTTGAAAAGGTGCTAAAAGTCCAAGAACACTAGTGTGTGTTCTTGGTGTTCTTCGTGAAACTTGAAGATCTAACCTTTTGGAATGATTTCACGGATGGAAGTGTGTTAAATCACTAGATTAAGTAATATATCAACTTATTAGGGCTAGAAACACTTACAAGTTGAAGATCTTGAAGAATTGTTGGATGATACTTGAGAGAGAATGAGTTTGGATCTTGAATTTGTGAAAAATGGTAAATAATGACTAAGTGTCATATATATACCCCCAATTTAGGGTTTACGACCGTAAACACCTTTGTTTAGGCCGTAAACTCCAAACTCTTGGAGCTTTGGGACTTTATTGTTGCATAATAAACCCTAGAGCATCCTCTCTCCTGTTATCTCCTGGAGTACTAATCTTAAAATACTCAAACTTATTCCAAAAAGCTTGAAAATTAGCAGAAACAGTTTTGACTCCTATTGAAGTGAATGGTTGTACAGAATAGAAATTTCGGGTTGTCACAACAGTTCTCACGACGTGAGAAGTATAGTCTCACGACGTGAGCACGACGACTGCCCCGATCAGAAACCCTGAGGCGAGTGAACCGAGTTGACTCACTGTGTCGACCCAAGTCGAGTTGACTCTCACGACGTGAGCCAAGGAAGGTCACAATGTGAGGACAGAATGATAAGAAAAGTGGACCATTGACCAGAGGCGTTGACTTTTGACCTAAGTTGACTTTTTGTCAAATATTGAGAAGGAGGGTAAGTCTAAGGGTTTCACTGCATGATTTCTTAGGTGTGGAGTAGTCCGGAGCAGCTGATAGCGTGAACAACAGTATTTAACTTTCGATTATGAGGTGAGTTTTCCTCCTAGGAACAGGTCTAAGGCACCAATGTCGGCCCGTTTATGTATGTTAGCGATGCCGGGGTTAGCCCGATGTAGTTTATATGTTTCCGGACTTCGGTCCGATGCCGGGGCAAGCCCGAGGAATGTTTGTATAAAGGGGGTTAAAAGGAAACATACAAATACTTTCGAACGTTATAGTCATTCCTAGATAACTGCAATATTTGGGGAGAATTCTTCTCTCTCTTATGATTGCTTCTCAACAATGCTCTATGAGCTATAATAGGGGACTTATATCATCATCAACACATTACGCTTTCAATTTTCATCAAAATCCCTCATCTGTCTTCAATCGCAAGAACCCTAATCACAATGGCTCCTCCATATGTTCTCTACATATATGCTCCCACACTAAATGTCATCAAATCTTTTGGAACTCCAAATGCTCCTATCGTCATCATGCCCACCAATGTCGCATTCTCACCTGAAATCCCTAAAAAATATGAAAACAAGGTATTTGAAGATTTTATGGCCTATCTTACAACATCTCCACGTTGTTATGCTCTTGTCGATGTTGTTGATCCCTTTCTTCCGCAACATGTTTGTTATTTCTATTATACTTCTACTTGTGATGACGTTGGAGTAATCATCGGCACAACTGGTGATGGAAAGTATACGATTTCATTGACTGCAACGAATATTTGAAGAGCTTTATAATTCCGATTCGTGATGAATATTTTTGTCTTCCTACTATGGCTGAATGTCGTGTTGTTCCAGAAAATTTGGACTATGATTTTAATAAGCAAGGAAACCACAATATTCTATGACAATGCTTTCCCACTACTTGGAAATTTCTCACTGGTGTTCTCGGCAAGTGTCTCACTCACAAAATTAGGAGGCCTGATCAAATGAATTCCTTTGAGCAATGTATCATGTTCTCTATCATCAAGAATAAGAAATTTGACTTTGCTCAACTGATATTTGATCAAATTGTTGAGATTATAAGAGAAAAGAAAAGATCCACTCATGTCCCATATCCCAGATGGTTTGCACTTATTATTCAATATGTTGGTACCGGTTATGGTGATGATCAAGTTGTAGATTGGATTCATTCCTTCACCTCTTCCAAGTTGTTCAATCAAGCCCCTGATGACGATTGGAGCATTACAAATGGTATGCATAAGAGGATTAACGCTCCATATGAGTGTGAGAGATTTCCATATGTTGTACCCGCTATCCTCTAAGAGGGTGAAATAATGGAGGATGAGATTTACTCAGTGTCAAACCAACGCGTTGTAGAAGATCCACAAGCACACAATGAGAGTCTCTCTCGGTATAAAGAAGACTTTGATGTTGCCAATGAGAATCTTGATGCTGGTAGTAATTTTGAGTACAATAGTGAAGATATGGAAATGGTTAATGTTTATCAAGATCAATAAAATCAAGTGAACTTACATGATTTCAATGAATCTGAATCAAATCAACCAAGAAAACACATTCGATTTCAGTCTTCTTCATCATTTAAAGAAAAAGAAGAAGAGTTCGTTCCTGAAACTCCTCCAGCTCAGCAAGGTAATGATGCTGACACTAATTATATCTCTGAAACTCCTCCACGTGATCAAGGAAATGCATCTCCTGTTCATACACCCTCTCATGGTCGTGTTCGAACTTCTTTATTCCGTAATCCAAAATCTCCACAAGTCCAACATGATCTTACATCATCTACTTAGCCTGAACAACGTCCTCCTATTCAACAAATTTGTAATATCCCAAAAATCAGAGAAATTTTAAATTTTTCAAAAACAACCCATTAACCATAAAATGTTTACAAAATCATTGTTTCAAAAGTATAGATCATAATCAGATTATCCCAAAATCCAATATCATATAAACTGCAATATGTGCACGATCATGCATTCGCTTTCCCACGATCCTCTGAAGTACCTGAAACATTATACTGAAATCGTAAGCCAAAGATTAGTGAGTTCCTCCAAGGTACCACCACACACCATAACAAACAATAGTATGCATATATGAGCCTTCAGCCTGACTGGACCACCTCGTAGGGCCTACAGCCTATCTGGACAGCTCTCGGGCCTTCGACCTGACTGGACCGCCTCGCAGGGCCTACAGCCTATCCGGACCGCCCCACGTATCTTGGCCTTCAGCACAAAGCAAGACCGTCTCAACCCAACCATAATATGTTGACATATACAACAAATAACATAAACACATATCCAGCAAATACAGGTTATCATACATATATACTATCCTGTTATATAACTAGTATACCATCATCCTATACCAGGATACATAACTTAGTGGGTTGGCATTGGTGCCTACGACCCACAAGTATAGTGAGGAAGACTCACCTCTCGGTCTAAACAAATAGTTGAATAGGTCTCTGCTTCGAATATCAGCTCTACTCGTCACCTAATTATCAAATAGTGACCAATCTCAAATACAATTCAAAATACCCAAAATACCCTTAGGTCAAACTTGGTCAAATTCTGTTCAAAGTCAAAAAGTAAAAAATTCAAACTTTATCAACAGAGCTAAGTATGCCCAACGTACTCAGTTGGTACGCACGGTGTACACGAGGCTTGACCAAATTGGAATGGTTTGACCTCGTACGCCCAGCGTACCTGGCTTACGCCCAGCGTATGCGATGGGGTCTTTTTCCTTCTTATTAGGAGCTTAATCCTTAAGCTCTTTTGCCCATATTCCAAATCCAATCTTAGAATAACGTCCTTAACCATAAAGTTTCCAACTTAATGGTCTTGCATGGCTATTAAGTGCCCAACAACAAAAACCCTAACTACTTAACTCACTGAGACCTTGTAACTCATGGATGGAAAAAAACTAACAATCAAGATTACATTTTTATGCTTCCAAATGCTCCAAAACGTCTGAAAGGACAACTTATATGAGACCAAAAGAACACCATTTCATGGCTAAATAAGATCTAATCAACACTTTATCAAGTTCAGAGTTTTTTACCTCCAAATGATGCCAAATGATGATGTGGTTCTGGATCCAAAGTGTTCCACTTCTCCAAGATGAGCTTATCTTCTTCCTTCCTCCTTCAAGGTCACCAAAATACACTCAAAAGCTCACAAATGCTCTCAAAAGGATTAGGGTTTGCAAAGTGGTCAAGATGGGGCTAGAGGCTGATGAAAGGAAGAAAATATGGGAGTTAAGGGTGTTTAAATAGGGTCCAAACCCTAAATATTAGGGCTTGGGACTTACGCACGTATGCCCATCGTACCAATCTGTATGCCCAACGTACTCAAGTTCTGCCTAAAATTATGAAAATGCCACTATGGGCCAATTTTGCAACTAAATCACATCCAAGGGCTAAAATGCAATTAATTCCTATACTTAGGGTTTCAAATGGAATTACCTCAATATCAAGATGTTACAAAATTCTTCCCATAAAAGCAACTATTCAGGGGGAGCAATCACTACCACGCCGGTTTCTTATTGATTTCAAAGGCTTTAAGGAGAAAACTCTTTCTACATTGGAGTCTCTATTTTAGCTCACATCCAATATGAATCAACGTCTTGTTATTATCGAAACTGATGTCGTAGAAATTAAGCGTATAATCTCAGACACTGACACTAAAACTGAAGATGGATATCAATCTCCTCCAGGGGATGGTCAACAACCACAACCTAGTTCTATAGGCACTCCTCTAACCAGCAGACCCTCCACCTCTATGCTTCCTCCTCAGCCACCATTGTCTTCAAGTCCTTCACCATCCACTCATCCTCCTCCTAAGAGTCATCCTTCATCTGTTTCTCCTTATAATCAAATGCTAGCACTTTCCATTATGTCACCCGCTCAAACTGATGATGCCAAAAAGGGGGAGAATATAGTCAATGAGTCCAACAATGGCACTGCTAGCAATGATGCTAAAAATGAGGCAAATGTTGAGTACATTCCTAACACTCATGATCAATCAGATGTTAATTGTGAAGTCTATTACATAGAATTGTCCTTTTGATGTGCAACCTCTTGAGACAGTATATACTGACATTGATAATACTGGTGTTGATGTTGAGGGGAGCAACATGCTCCTCAAGGGGAACCAAGTGACATTGAATCTGATGTTCCTCCGAGCAAGAAAAAAAAAGGCAGAAATTACCCTTGATGCTAGTCCTTTTAAGAAGAAATATAAAGAGCGTACAGTTTCTTAGATGGCAAAAATTTGGGGTGTTTCTATCGAAGTGGCTAGGGAGTATGACAAACAACATAGCATTCAATCCACTATTCGAATGTATGATAGGAGAGATTCCAAGATGATTCAAAAGGTGGTTACTGGCTCTAGCATTTTGTTTGGTAAGATTGAACGATTAAAAAAGTTCAATTTGAAAGCTTCAAAAGAAAAAATTGTTCAAGAAAGTGCAATTACCAGACCTGAGAGGAGCATGTTTGGAGATGTACCGACGAGAAGAATTGATCTTGGTCCAATCATAAAAGTAAGATGCTCCAAGGCCAAGACTGAAAGAATGCTTACAATGTATATCACAAGACATGGTGATGCAAGCTTATTTAGTTATATATTTCATACATTATCATTATTATTTTATGCTACATTTTGTGTTAATTATAGAACAAAAGGTACTTATCATGTTTGAAATATGTTTTGTAGCAGAGAAGACATGCTCGAGACAAAAAGGAAGCATACGAGGAGCTGGAAGCAGGAAAATGTGAGATAAAGCAAAAAAGAAGACAAAGAAGCATGTTGCTGGACAGCTTGACCCTTTGTCAGTGTTTTGGCCATATCTAATGACTCGTAACTCCGAATAACAAGATTCAAAATGTTTTAAAAATTAGACACAATTTCGGATGACTTTCGTGTTTTGAGAAAATGTTGATTCCCAACGAACACGCCATGTTGATCACGAACACGCCGTGTTGAATAGAAGCTTCGTGATTCTTGACATTGACTAGGAGAATACATGATTTTAATGAAGAACACGCCGTGTTTGTGTCCAAACACGCTGTGTTGACGCTGCAACCTATAAACAGAGCTAAAAATTAGCCCTAATGATATATCTAAAACCCTAGATCGACTCTTGCGGTTATAAACCCCCAAGAAGCCGTTTTAAGGGTCTAGAAGGCGGCCGGAGGGCCGTTAAGCTGACAGGAGCGAAGATCTGAAGGATTGGAGAGCAGATTCATGACGGTAATCATGTGGTTTGTTGTTGCAACCAAGATTAGCATTTCAATATGATTCTATATGTATTTACTTTCTGACTTGGGTATTAAAACCCTTTGCTTTGTGTTTATGATTGAATGAATCCTTAAATTTGTGGATTAATTGCTTTTTGGATTGTTTCTTTGTGTTCAATTTATTTTGTCAAGTTTGATTGCAAGATCCATATGTGTTAGAGATTGTTACTTATTCCTTATTGCTGAATTGCTAGAGTGTAACCTATAATCAAACACTCCAAATTAATTCACTTCCGTTTCCCTTGTGTTCGACACATGTTCGTACCACAACTATACTATTACATGATTAGGTTCACTGTCTAGTGTGTGTGTTAGTCCGGTTGCGTTAAAATCACTTTTATAAATTTAAAAACTTGAGTATATATATATATATATATATATATATAGTCAAGATCAAATAAGAAGGAAATTTTTTTGTAACGACCATCATTTGAAGTATTAATTATTAAATATTTCTTAAATTATT